CTCTCTCTCTCTCTCTCTCTCTCTCTCTCTCTCTCTCTCTCTCGGGCCCTTGGGACCTGGCTTGAAGGAGCTGAGACAGAACAGAATCCACTTCCACCCACACATCCCAGGACATGACATGAAGATTGGGCCCAACAGCTGGAGTGGCTGGGGCCCATCTGTGGCAGTTGTGAGCTGGGCTTGTGGGGTGTGGCCAGGGCCCCAAGGGAAGGGAGTGTCATTCCAGGACAAGAGGACACAGGGAGGAAGATAGAAAAGCATAAGGAAGCCCTGGCAGCTGAATGTCATTTGTGCTTACCTGACCTAGATTTCAGCTGTGGTTTGGGGGCCACATTTCTTGGAGCCTGGCATCTCCTTGGGCTGAAGGGCCGCTGCTGGAGCTCAAGATATTCCTGCTGCTGTCAATCCTAATTGCTCCTCCTCACCAGCTGGCCAGCCCACTCCTCCACACCCTGCCTTTCCCACAGCCAGGCGTGGGGGCCCTGTAGCAACTAATCAGCTTACAGGTCAAGCCTTGGTAAACAGGAGTCCTCAGCCTATGCCAGCTGTGAGAGGTTTTACTCCAAGTCCTGGCAACCTGGGAGGGGTGGAGACGGTAAGGAGCCAGGATTCTAGGGGCTCCAGGCTCTACTTTCATGAGCTTAAAATTTTCATGCAGAGGGGCAATTCTGGAAAGCAAGGCAGACTTAATCACATTGGGCAGATGATCCCATGTACCCTCAAGTTGAAGAGAGCGGGAGTGCCCTGCCTGCCCACTTCCGACTTTGGCAGCTGGTGCAGTGGAAATTGTGCATTCTGGAGTCAATCAGGCCTTAATTCTAGTCTCAGATCTGACACATGGGCACTTAAGCTTTCTGAATCCGTTTTCTCATCTGTAGAACCAGCCAGTATTTAATAATAGCGTTTACTGAACACTTATTATGTGCCAGGCACTACTGTAAACACTTCAACCCACTAAATCCCCACAGCAACTCTGAGAAATATTTACCATTATTAAACATATTCTGCAAATAAGCTAGTAAGTCGCAGAAACCGTTTTCTACCCCCTCCCTTGCTGACCAGTGTGGTAAATCTTAACTAGTTAATTCCATCATGGGAATTCCATCCTCCTTGCTGGTGATTGGCCTCGTAATGAAAATGTGACATAATTCTGACCAGTGGGGTGTGAGGGGAAACCTAGGGGTCTTCTAAGAGAGCTTTCCTCTTTCTTTTCACCTTGGGATGTTATGTGCAAATGTGCACTCTGGAGCTGCTGCAACTATGATGCATCCCTGAGGGCAGTAGCCAGTACATTGAAAGCAGAGCAGAAAGTTGAAAAAAAAAAAGTATTTGATGTCATCATAAGGCAGCCTACATTGAATCTATGTTATCTCTGGACCTCTTATGTGAGTGACAGCTTCCTTACTGTTTTGAAACTCTATACCAGTGTGTGCACTGTGTGTGTGTGTGTGTGTGTGTGTGTGTATGAGGTAAAGATGGTTGGTAATGTGACAGAAGTGCCCTAACCTGGTCACCGTTCCTTGAGCACGGCCACACTCACACCCTTCTTACTCCCTAGGACCTCTGGGACTCACCCCAGCTTCTGGCACGGCTTTAACAGGCAGCACCCCTTGGAGCTGACTGTCCCCTGCCTCCATGTACGTTCCAAGGAGCACTGCACTGAGTGCCCCACCTCACTGCCAGAGGCTGGCAGCTTCAGGTCCTCGGTTAGTTCTGCAGAGCAAAAGTGCCCAAGATAAGAAGAAATCGAAGGGAATACTTGGTGTGGCTCGGAAGGGCACGGGCAGAAGCAGGCACTTGTACTCTGCCACACTCAATGTGTAAGTGATAAAAGCCTTACAAACGTGCATGCCTGTTGAACCAGCACTGACACTTCTAGGGAAAGAAAATAGGTATGCAAAGGAGATTCACTGTGAGGTTCACAACAGCAAAAAATTGGGAAAAATCCAAATGTTCCTGCGCGGGGGCCTGAGTAAATGCATTACAGTACAACCTTACAATGGCACACTACACAGGCGTTAGCAACAAGGTAAAACAGGCATGGTGTATTAGCTTTCAAAAGCCAGTAATAAAATAGTATATATGGTCTCATGTTCATTTTTTAAAATCTGTATAGAAGCATAGAAAAAAGTTGAAAAATACAGTTAAACAAAGGAATTGAAAATAGTTATTTTGGGGCATTAACACTGTGGGTTAAATTTCTTTTCTGCTTATTTTCACATGACAAGAGGAATGCTAGTAAATATCAAAAAGGGCAGTAGATGTCCAAGAGAGAAAGTAGGCCCAGGTAGACAAGATGTCTATTTCAACAATGGTCATACTTTGACCCTGGAGGTATTGTATTGGTAACAAGGTGGTCGACTCTGTGTCCCTCTGTGTGCCTGCTGTGACAGTGACATGGCACCGAGAGGCAAGAGGTACTCTACTCTCAGGATCCCTTGGCCGAACTTGGCATCTTCTTCCTTATGGGTCTGACCACCTTCTCAGTTCTGACTAAGAACTGGCAGATATCCAGCAGCACCAGGAGCGCCAGGCAGACGACAGCCGGGATGTAGGTGTTCAGTGACTCCTTCAAAGACACCAACGTGAAGATGGACCCTGGAATGGAAAGTCAGGTCTCTGAGGCTCCCTGGGGCACCCAGGAGATCCAGGAGCTCAGGGCTCTCCAGCCTAGGACGACCAGCTCAAGTCCTCCCCTTAAGCACCCCCCGCGCACATACCCTACACTAGGTGCACTTGTCTCCATGGCCTCACAGAGAAAGCAGGACCAGAAGCTTTTTGGATTAATGGAACCCCTCTCAGAGAGCAAGAAACAGGAACAATCCAGCCAAATAGGGCAAGAAGGTGGCGAGATAGGCATTTTGGAACAAATTCTCACTGCTCCTACTCCTTTCTTAATCCTGCTGGAGGGAAGGAGGCCCAGGGGTTGGTGGTGGAAGTGAAAGAAAGATTTGAAAATGAGGGAAGCTCCAGAGATGGAAAGAAAGCCTGGGGGCAGGGTGGTAGTGGTGGCAGCGATGGTGACACGAGACCTGGGGGGCATAGAAGCAGCAGCTGTCTTTGTACATCAGCAGTTCCTGTGAGCAGAACTGCTATGAGGGGGTCCCTCCAAGACTTCTAGCCCCAGGCAAATTCTCTGCCTTTCTGTTCAGGGGGCTCAGCTTCTTGGTTCCCAACTGCCAGACACATAGGTCAAGTGGCAACTGCTACTCTATCCTCTCATCTCAGGGGTGGGATGTGGGGGGAGGGGGGAGCAGTAGGGGCTTTTAGGTTACATTATAATACATCCTTATGATGGAATATCACACAGCCAATAGAATGGATGAGGTAGAAGGTATAGTTGGCATCAATAGTGTTACAGTAGATTAAGTTTGAAAAGCACCTGTCCTAGTCTGAAGACCATGGAAACTGTAATACAGCAGGAAGTGCTCCTGGTCCCAGAGAAAAAAGGGGGGGCGGACAATAGTAATGGGGAACAGAGGAACAGCCGAGCCTTCCCATCATCCTCCCCAAGAATTCCTCCTTCCCTCTGCCCAGGGGGGCGCCCCTTACCCATCATGAGCACGATCAAGAGAAAGTTACTGATCTCTTGCAGCTTTGGTGGGCCCAGGGCCAGCAGCAACCCAGCCAGCAGTTCCAGCCAGCCTACAGTCACTTGGTAGCTCATGGGATCTGGCTGGTAGCCGAACACCTTCAACGGGAACTCCTCAGCGAACTGCTCGAACAGGGCTTTCTAGGGGTGGCAGGGAACGCCTGTCAGCCACTCACCAAGGACCCACTTCCCAGCCACTGCACGGGGGCATTTGGTGCCTACGTCAACTGCCCCCAACAAAGGCGTGACTACTCTAGACCAGGTCCAGCGCTGAGGTCAGCTGGGAAGGAGAGAGCCTCCCTGGGGGGCTGAGCTTTGGAATCAGTAAACGGGCTTCATGCTCCAGGGAGAAGGGCTGGATGGTGATGTAGAGATGGACTGAGTTTCTCACTGGACTCTCCCCAGGCCCAAATTCAAGGAAGAGGAAGCAAGGCTTGGGCCTTCTCATCTAGTGCCAAGGCCTTGGGAACGCCCCAACTTCTCTTTATGCCTGGCCTGGCCTCTCTTCAGGTACTGTGCAGTTGGGAGAGAGGATGGAAGGGCAGATTGCTGCTCATTAAACAGATTCCACTTTCTATATCATATGCTGGTGCCTGGATCCCACTGCAATAGACACAAGGGGAGTTGAAGGGGCTCAAAGTGACTCATCTTGCTGAATCAGGCTCCGTCCTGGGCCACGTGACTTCATCCTGATCCTCGGGTTGGCTACCTTTTCCTGCTCCCCCACCTCAGCGCTACCTTCTCCTACTCAGTGATGCAAGGAGGCACTAAGCTGTCTGGCTCTAGGGATGAACTTGCCCAAACCCACCACCTTCAGACAGGACAGAAGGGGAGAACCCAGGCCTGGGAGAAGGGGCTCGCAGGGTCTCCAAGTCTGGCTGTTTGAGAGGCTTGGGGGATTGGTGAGCATGAGAACATGAAAGCTTTCCCCAGTCTAGAACCAGACAGAAGGCCTAAGGGCGACTTCCAGGCCTCCCTCCCAGGCTCCATCCTCCAGAAAAGGGCTCTCTGGATTCTAAGAGAGTGTAACCTTTACACTTCACCTTCAGGGCGGGTTTCCTACCCTGCCAAATGGGGATTAATAAACCCTGCCTCACGAAGCTCCCAAGAGCTCAAACAAGGAAGGAGGTGTGTTTCTTTTCCACCCCATCTTTCTCCCCCAGGGTCCGGAGCATTCCTCCTGCGGCTCTAGACTCGCCTGGGCCACCAATGCTCAGCTGGAAAGGGCCTTCCCGACCCTCCCGTCTATGGAAACTCCCTGGAGGGCGTCCACGTCCAAGCCAAGGTTCAGATGCTCTTCCCCAGGCTCTAGCGCCGTCTGGCCCGAAGGCAGGCGGTCGGCGGGCAGACGG